TTATTTTTGGCTGTGGGTAAATGAAATATGATAAATTTTCAGTGCCTTTAACAATGAGTTCACATAGTAGGCAATCAAAATTGATCCATTTAACAGGTATTTAAACCCTTGGTTTGTATAACTACGTATAGAACCCTTCTCATTGTGGTTTAAGTATACAATGAGAATTTTGTAGAGATAGTACCTATCTTCCAGAAAGTTTTATTCATATAGAAAGCATCGAATTTTTCACATTTACAAGTGCTTTATAATTTAGAAAGCACATTCGCAAACTTAATTAAGTGACTTTTGGTCTGGACCTCACTTCTATTACTTCATTTCCTATACTATCTCCTTCCCGGTTACCCGGGAAAATGTACCGGTAGTAATTTAACTTAACCTCACCAGTAAAGTCTTGATTGTTTAAAATTAAGCAATATCTCATTCCTTACATCTGAATAGTCTAGAGGATAAACTTTCCTCTTATTATAGGAGAATTAATCTTGTATTTCACAGTACCCAAAACAATAGCTGATATGTGAGAGGCAGTTAATTTCATTCATTCATTCATTCATTCATAAATATGTAGCCCATTGACATTTGTATTGTGCTTTAGTTTACAAAGCACTTTAATATGCACCTTTCTGAAATTTTTTGTTCTATGAGAGTATTTTTTTCCCCTTTGGTAGCTCTAGTGCCCAGCATGGTATCTGGCACATTATAGGTGACCACAATAAGCTGAGTCCCTTATGTATTCAGTATACTTTAAAGTTTAAAAGCAGTTTCCATGTGTTTTCGTTTCTGATACCTGGAATACTGCATTTTTACTCAAAATTACCAGAGCAGCAAACACAAATTGGCCTCAAATACACATATAATTTATTCATTTATCAAACAATTCTTTGTGTCTGCATAGTACTATATCCTTTTGAAAGGGCACTTTTTTATGCTTGCTCCTTTCTTTGTATCCACAATGTTTATCACAGTAGAATACAAGTGCTTTATAGTTTACAAAGCACATTCACTATTTTTCTTCAGGTCACCTACATGTGAATCATCGTTGCATTTTGAGTGCCTAGCACAGGGACAGGCACAGAAAAGGAAATTAGTAGTATTCAGACATTTTCTCTGAATAATGAATAATACATCAGGGGGTGGTAAGCTATGAACAGCAGGCCAAATCCAATTGGCTCAAAAACTAAGGATGATTTTGACCTTATAAAAAGGTTGTTTAAAAAACAAATATGTAACAGAAACCGTATGGCCCACAGTCTAAAGTATTTATGATTTTGACCCCTTACAGAAAAACTGTGGACCCCGATTTACATAATGCTTCACAATTTACAATGCACTTTCAAATGTTAACTATGCATGATTGCCAATGCACTATTAAGGAGCACGCCTTGGTTTTTCTCTTTTTTTTTTTTTTTTAATGAGACGGAGTCTCGCTCTATCGCCCAGGCTGGACTGCAGTAGCTGGATCTCAGCTCACTGCAAGCTCCGCCTCCCGGGTTTACGCCATTCTCCTGCCTCAGCCTCCCGAGTAGCTGGGACTACAGGCGCCCGCCACCTCGCCCGGTTAGTTTTTCGTATTTTTTAGTAGAGACGGGGTTTCACCGTGTTAGCCAGGATGGTCTCGATCTCCTGACCTCATGATCCACCCGTCTCGGCCTCCCAAAGTGCTGGGATTACAGGCTTGAGCCACCGTGCCCGGCCGGTTTTTCTCTTACGTTTTACAGTGCTTTCATATACATTATCAGTCATTTAAATCAACTTCCCACATAAACAGGAAGGAAAAAAAATCAAGGAAAGTATTAAATGTGCTCAATAGTCCCAGGTTCTCTCATCTTTAAGCCTAGAGATGGGTATTAAACCCAGGATTAGGGTTGGCATAGTCCACCAAATTATTTGGCCACTACTATGAGCAGGGAGTTCAGGCTGTCCCCTTGGGAACTCACTTTGTCCCAGGCCCAGTCATCCTTTCCATAACCATCACTAGAAATCCCAAACCCCAGAATCCTGCTCACCTAAGCTCAAAGAAGGAAGCTGTTCCTGGCAGGTGCTTCTCAGAAGTCTGGCACATCTGTGTATTTCTTGTCTAATTCTTCTCATTGGCCTGCAGCATCTCTTCACATTTTTCTCTAGAGGGCCTGGCACTTTTTTTTCCCCAACAACCTGACCATTTTATCTTCTCAGTCTAGGGATTCTGGGGTTAAAAGAGAGGACTGAAATACAGTATCACCTATATGAATGTTTGCTCCTGAGGGGAATAACAAAATCCAGATTAGATACTGACTGGATTCTGGTGTCTCTCTCAAGTGGAGTAGATGTGAATAGAAACAGAAGTTTACAAAACACTAAAGCCTAACAAATAGGTAAAAGCTGTGATTTAAAGCTGGCTCAAGACTGGCCCAGGCATAATACTGTCAATCTAAAGATATGTTCCTTTAAGGTAACTGGCAACATCAAAAAGTACATCTCAAAAGAATCAGGCTTAAAGAGAAACAGGAGAACTGGAAATATATAAGAGTAAGAAGTGTAAACAATAGAAAAGAGGTGGGGTTTAGGGTTCTCATCTTGGGATTTCCCCAGGTCTTCAAGCTTCCATCCTTCCTGGGTTCTAGGTCATGGACCTCCAGATTCCAGCCTTTAGTCTTGAGATATCTGTTTCACTTGGGTCCTCTATCCATATAGGTAGGATTTGTGACAGAGGCCTTCCATCCTTGGGTTGTAGGTCTTCCAACTACAACCCCGGGCTAATCTTAGGTCTTTGGCCTTGTGTCACAAGTCTCAGTTCTTAGGCCTTCCATGTGTCCTGTCCCAGGTCTTAAGACTTCAAACTCAAGACTTGAGACTTCCATCCAACTCAGGCCTTCTGTCCAATTCAGACCACCCTGTTTTCTTGGCTCTTGAGGCTTTTGTTCGTTTCAGGCCTGAGGCTTCTATCTATCTTGGAACATGGGCTTTCCATCTTAGTCCTCGGGTCTCGAGTCTCAAACCATCTGTCTTCTACTTTGGGCCTTTTATCCATATGAGCCTTCCACCTTCTGTCCTACTTGAGTATTGGGTTTTACTGCAGTCTAGACTCTAGGGCCTTGTTTTGGTCTTGGATCATCTCACATGGCAGCCTGGCATAAGGAACCGCTCCACAATGCTCATTCTGATAGCCGACGTTCTGCACCTATCAGGCAGGGGTTAAGAGGCCCCTCTGCCACACATGACACACACACGTACACATGCCCACATATGCAAAGAAATATTTAAGGAGAGAAGATTACATGAAATCAAAGAGAGGGAGATAGATTCATGAAGAGGCTGAAATACTCAAAGGTGAGTAGAAAGGGAAGAAGCAGAGAAGAAACACAAGCCAACAGAGATTAATACTGAAATAGAAAATCACAAACAGCAAGAGATGCTGAGGCACACAGGGGAGGAAAAAGAGAGAAAATAGCCCAAGAGAGGCAGAAAGGAAATGTAGAAATGAGAAATGTGAGATAAAAAGTAGAAACAGCAGAAAGGAGGCCAGACTCAGAAAAAAGGTGAAATTTAAAACGAACAAGAAGGGGAAGGGGTAACAAATAATCACAGTTCACAAAGAGAAAAGAGAGGTAGGCAGAGAAAGGAGAAGTAGAACAAAAGAAGGACAAAAAGCACACACATGTGACCCAAAAAGGAGACATGAAATAAAGCATGAAAGAAGAGCCACATCTAGGAGAGCAAAGAGAAACAGCAACAAAAGGAAAAATGAGAGACACGTCTAAGATAAGGCACAGACCAGTCTTGTGAACAAAAAGAGAAAATGAGGCAAAGGCACACACGAAAGAAATTAGCAAGAGAAAGATGGAAATGGGTAAGACACACTTTAGATAGAGAACAAAGAGCAAAGACAAGGAAGAAAGAGACAAAGAAATACACACTTGAGTGCAAGAGATAAGCAAGGGCAGACATTCAGAGAAAGTAAGTAGCAGAAGAGACAAGATACAGTGAGGGGCACAAGAGGCATGAAAAGCATCACAGAAAGATAAAAAAAATCAAAAAGTGTCATTAGTAATTATATTAAACTATTGTTACTACCAATACTATTTATACTACTACAATAATAATAATTATAACAACCACCAACACCAACACTGATGCTCTTCTATTTACAAACTTTTACCTTAGGGATTTCTTATGTAGAACCAAAGCATGCCAACTCTGCCTGCTACCTGATAGTGCTAGTGGTCACTGATATTGTGGGAAATGAACTTATGAGTCTTCTTGGCTTACCTTTTACTTGCCATGTGCCAGGCACTGCAATAGGTGAGCACTTTACATACATGATTTCATTTAACCCTCACAAACAGGCAAGTCTAATCAGAGACTTTAAGTTGCCAAAGGTCATATACCTAATGAGTAGCAGAGGATTTAAAACACACAATGTGTGCCTCTTAACATTCTGTTACAACTATTCACTAGGATTTCTGGAAGAGCCAAATGGGATGTCACAGATGACTAAATATTTTCATAAAGGGCTCTTTGATAGGACTTGCTCAATCCCTTCCTTTAGCATCACCTTTCCCCAACTCTTTGGAAAACTGACTTCATTCTCACACTTTTATAATGGCTACTTCAGAGTTTCGTCTTCTTTTTACACTAATCTTAACTGACGACAGAGTCTCTCACAAATGGAGATGAGAAAGCGTTACCCTTTCAGCAGAAAGCAGAAATGGTGTTTTAAGCTTCTCAATGTTTAAGGCTCTAAGAATGACAGAGGACGTATACAGTGAAGACACAGAACGCACAAGCAAAGGCTAGATTCTTCTATGATACAACTGGTAAGAAGACCATAATGTCTTTGAGTTGCTTCAGTGAACTTAGTAATATGGAAGACAGGTCATCTTTCCATCTCACATTTAGCCCCACTTCACATTAGACCAATACACCACATCCAACACCAGCTCCCAAAAAACAGCTGTTATTAATAGTTCTGAAGTGATCCTCACAGGACTGCAACACCAACAACTTACTTCATTCGGCTATCCTAAAGTGCTAGAGTGCCAAGCATGTTGATCTTCAGGTAGGAAGGCTGACCTCCTTCAATGTGTTCAAATTTCTTGGACCTGCTGAAGACTCAGTTCTCTGCACTGCTTGTAGGAAGTGTAATGATTTGGCAGATAGGAACAATGAAGAGCTATAAAAACACATGAGATAAACCATGTAAATGCCGTAAGTATTGAGTACTGTGCTAGAGTTATGTAAGATTGAAATTAATAAGCAATAGAAAACGTTTCCACAGAACTTTGAAACCTACAAAGTCAAAACTTTAAGGTCTTTAGAGAGAAAATTTCCTCATTCAACAGAACAGGAAGCTGGAATAAATGGGAAAATGTCTTGTCAAATATCACTTGATGAGTCACTAGAGACACCACCACCAGTCATAGCCTTACACCTTAAAGACTAGAACTGCCGGGCGCGGTGGCTCACGCCTATAATCCCAGCACTTTGGGAGGTTGAGGTGGGCAGATCACCTGAGGTCAGGAGTTTGAGACCAGCCTGACCAACATGGAGAAACACTGTCTCTACTAAAAATACAAAATTAGCCCAGTGTGGTGGTGCATGCCTGTAATCCCAGCTACTTAGGAGGCTGAGGCAGGAGAATCGCTTGAACTCGGGAGGCAGAGGTTGCAGTGAGCTGAGACTGCACCACTGCACTCCAGGCTGGGCAACCAGAGCAAAACTCCATCTCAAAAAAAAAAAACTACGATCCTGTTTTAAGTGCCAATCAGCTAGGAGTCCCTTTAAATGATTAGTAACTGAGATCACAAAAATAATAGATATGAGAGGAAAAAACATAAGGTATTTCCAATGTTTAAGGCTCACTTCAATGTTTTAGGACCACCTCAAGTTTGCTTTATTTAAGTCTCCTGGCTCAGGACTAACAAAACACAGCCACAGAGCAGCATTTCCAAAACTCGTAATACTGCTCTTTGAGATAAAGGTGAGTCACTCTGGAAGGCAAATATTCTCACAATAAGAAAATTCACATAGGTTGTTTAACATTGCAGCTAAAATACCAAAAAAAAAAAACAAAAAAAAAAAGAAAAAGAAAATTTACATAGGCTACTGGCCCTAGGAGAATTTATCTAAAGATTCTGAGTACAATAGATAGATCTTCCTAGATAACTCTCAACTTAGCTTTCTAGTTCCTAGGCTTTCTAACAATTTCTGTTAGTAACTTTCTCTATTTCTAAATCTACAGAGCTTTCTAGTCAATTATAACATTTTGAGAGTTCTTACCCATGAAAATATTTCATGAAATTTATAGGTACCCACTATTTATGAAGAATGCTGGGCAAAGCCTATACGATCAGGATTTATTGCACTGAATGGTCACCTTTATCTGCCAATCCTCACTCGCTAATCAGCCTCTCCCAACACTGACCTAGAGAATGTAGGGTCCTGGTTCTTTAGCTCCTGCCTGATGACAGATAACTTTGTGCCATTTTTAGTCCATTTGTATTTATGCAGCTTCCATCAATCAGCAACCATAGCATAAAAAGACACACCTCTCACTTGTCGTATTATATCCCATGGCATCCCAAGCCATCCCGAAGTATGTAAATGATTGGCAAAGTTCTTCTGTAAGGCTTTAAGAGAGACTTTGGGGACCAGATGGAACAGAATGATTTGCCCATGTGATCAATGTCACTGATGTGACAGTTGTCCATGTTCTCCTAAAAGAAAGAACAATTTAGCTGTAAGCCTCTGCCACACGTTATAGTCCCCACTCTAAACACCCGAACACATGCAACCTGCTACCCTCTTTACATCATCAATTTAACCAATCTCACACCCACTTGCTTCCCAGGTAAATTAGGAAGCTGTCTTTACCAAATCATACGCAGAATAATGATGAATACAACCTCAGTGAAACGCTAAGTGCAATGTATACTGGAAAACAAAATCAAAATTAAGACTACTTATTATGCTTTTAGGGACAGCTTACGCACCTTGACGTGTGGTGGTTGTTTTTGAGACTTTATCTTCCTATCTGGGACCAGGAAAGTATCCTGACAGAACCTCCTGACCTAGGGTTGTTGCCCAGTGGTAGTGAGCTTTTCCCCTGGAGGATCCTCATGCCCCATCTCCACCTAGGGATCGTCAAAGGGAATGGATCACTAACACTGTAAAGCAACAAGCCTATTCTTCTGAGGAAGATCTGAAAAAGAGATAAAAGAAAAGTATTGAAATGGAGTACACTGGGAAAGTCTCTCCTAATGGGCAACTAGTGGTTGAGTTCAACCATGTATACCCTTTTCTTCATGTGGATTGAAGAGTGGACATTTACAGTTGTGCGGAGCTGTTATATTCTGGCTACCAACCTAACAAAAAAAAAATTGTCCTATTTGTCCCAGCTCTATTCTGTATGTTTTCCCTCATTTCCAAGAGAAATTTAGAACTGAATAATTGCCAATATCCCCATGGTGCATTTTATTCTCCAGTCTTTATTAATGAGCTATCTTCTAGAATGTGGGTTGTTAATGCCCTTGTGTTCTCAGCACAAAATATAGTAGAGGGATCAAGAAATCAAGAGGTTGAAACTAATGGAAGGAGAAGCTAATGCTTTCTCAACCAAGAGAGCCATGAAGCCACACAGAAAAGGTCCAATGTGGTCTAACCCTACGAATTCTGTAAGAATTCTCCTCCACAATGCCTCTGGCTTCTTTTATAAAGCGCTATTTTAAGAACTGAGCAATCCACCTCAATCAAAGTGCCTGTCAGCTAGTTTTGTAGCATTCCCCTCTTTTAATTTGTACTTTAAGTAGTGCCATGCCATAATATTGCCAAGATAAAGAGAGCTGTTTTCTACTCAATCCACATGGTAACATTTCTTCAACAACCTGTGTAATAAGGAGCCACCAAAGTTCTAGGATATTCAGAGAAACCAAGAATGGTCACAAGCATACAGAACTCCAGTTATAACAACAGCTGGTCAGGCGCAGTGGCTCACGCCTGTAATTCCAGCACTTTGGGAGGTCGAGGCGGGTGAATCACCTGAGGTCGGGAGTTCGAGACCAGCCTGACCAACACGGAGAAACCCCGTCTCTACTAAAAATACAAAATTAGCCTGGCATGGTCACGCATGCCTGTAATCCCAGCTACTCGGGAGGCTGAGGCAGGAGAATAGCTTGAACCCGGGAGACGGAAGTTGCAGTGAGCCAAGACTGCACCATTGCACTCCAGCCTGGGCAACAAGAGCGAAACTGCATCCCGAAAAAAAAAAAAAAACACCACAGAAACAGTTAAGCAAATATATGCAGAAGGAAAAACAAGGTACAGAAGACTAGAGATTCAGTAAATTCCTTACACAGCCTCCCCCGCCCAGGGCTCTCCTATTCTACTTTTTAAAAATTTCAATTGTTTTTCAAGCTAAGAAACTTTCAATTTCTTAAAACAAGAAAATGGCAGTGATAATGGAATTAGGCCTACCAAAACTGAGCTAATACAGATGAAGTTGGTCTTATTTGTAAACAAATCCTGAGAACTTAATACCCATCTGCCAAAGGAAAGTGGGAATAATTTAAAAGCCCACTAATCAAAAGATGTTAAGTTCATTGTATCTCTCTTGCTAACTATGTGGTGAGAAAGGAAATAACTTATTGCTTTGCATCTCTCATTCTTCATTTATGAAATGGGGATCAAGTATGCTTGCCCTTACAGACCTCACTGGAGCCCAGCTCTGAGGGATAAATGAAACAGGCCAAACTCATTATGAAAAGTTAAAATGTATGTGTATATGCAAAAGAAAAAGTATAGGAATTGATGAAAACTGGCTCATGTTCTGCTTTTCTTTCATTTTAAGAGACTGGGTCCTGCTCTGCCACCTAGGCTGGAGTGCAGTGGCTAATCATGGCTCGCTGCAGCCTTGAACTTCTGGGCTGAAGCAATCCTGCTGTCTCAGCCTCCAGAGTAGGTAGGACCACAGGCACACACCACCATGCCCGACTAATTTTATTTTATTTTATTGTAGAGACATGGGTCTTGAACTCCTGGCCTAAAGTGATCCCCCCACCTCAGCCTCCCAAAACCCTGGGATTAAAAGCAGGAGCCACCGTGCCCAGTTGTGTTCTGCTTTAAAAAGGAGAGTTATAGGAAGTTAAAGCCAAAGACAGAAGCCCTACAACAATAAATTCCCCAACTACCTTTTTCTCCAGGTGGCTGGCAACCCATCCAAGTAGATTTGCTGGAGCTTGGCCAGATTCTCAAAAGGAACGATATGCTGAATTTGAAGCCTCTTGCAGCTGTTCGCAGTCCTCGGGTCTCACATGCTCAGAATGTCCTTGAGAAGAAAGACAGGGTTCAGTAGGCTACCAAAGCACCGGTAGGATACCAAAAGAGTTACAAAAACCCCAACGAAAAACACCTAGGAAGTATAAACTGAAGCATTAGATATAGGCATTTCCTGTCTCTACTTTCTAGCCTGTTTGGTTTCCCTAAAGTCTTCTAATAACAAGCCCTGGCGGTATCATGGGAGGATTAGACAAGTGAAGAAAAAGAACTACATGAAAATATGGGTCAAACTAATACCGACCTTAAGGGCTGACGCTAGATTTGTGGCTAATGGTCATCCTGTTGCTGAAAATACTTCAAGATTCAAGGTAGTGTGGCAATTGCTACTACTGCTTAGAGGTGCAATTGTCTTGATTGTTTTTAATAATTGGCTATCTACCTTTACTGTAGCACAGGAGCTCACTAAAGCGGATCTAAGCCAAACTTGCAGCCTTGAAAGCATTTTGCATGGTATGGTATGGTGTGAGAAGCACCCAGTATGTTAAACCCGAGGACCTTAAATGAATACAGGCTTCCAGATTCCTGATTAGGGATTATTGTATCATGACAAAACCTTTATGTCAATGTCAAACAGGAATGTATGGAAGATCCCTTATTCAACTCTATTCTCTAGCTTTAAAAAGGCCAAACTGTTCTATGATGTTCTCAATATGAGCAGAACAAGCTTCAAAATCTCTTGCCAACATCCTTCCCTATCCTAATTTAATCTAAGATTAGATACTTCACTTCCAAATGCAGGCTTCCAGTTAAACATGGAGGTTCATACATGTTTATGCATTTACTCTACTGCTTCCTGAAACTCCATTAATGAAGAGTAAATGTGCACTCCATGTGCAAGCAAACTGACCTAAAGAAATTTTAAATCAATGGATCCTAGCTCAAATTCATTTATACACTGGCATCTAAAAGGAAACAACTATTCCAGTCTCCCCAAGTCTTCTTAACCATATTTATGGAGTATCTTGCTTTAGCATCAAAGCCCTCTAGTTTTGCCTGTCACTATGGTGATGACATACTCAAGGAGCATTCCCTTTCCCTTAATGGGAATCTAAGGCTAGAGAAAATGGTTACATTTTGGAACTGGGAATCTAAGGCTAGAGAAAGTAGTTACATTTTGGAACTGATACAGAACCATACATTTCACTAGGGTTCAATATTCACGGACAAGAATTTTGAGAATCTGTCATATTGCAGACCAACGAAATATCAAAGTATTATGGAGAGAATAGCCAAGTGGCATAGGCAGCCATCTGGTTCAAATACTCCAGCATCAGACAGAATTGTCACAGATAGAAGTGATATTAATAATCACATACGCCTGGTGCAGTGGCTCATGCCTGTAATCCTAGCACTTTGGGAGGCCAAGGTGAGTGGATCACCTGAGGTCAGAAGTTCGAGACCAGCCTGGCCAACACGGGGAAACCTCGTCTCTACCAAAAATACAAACATTAGCTGGGCATGGTGGCGGGCGCCTGTAATCCCAGCTACTTGGGAGGCTGAGGCAGGAGAATTGCTTGATCCTGGGTAAAGGAGGTTGCAGTGAGTCGAGATTGTGCCACTTTACTCCAGCCTGGGCAAAAGAGCGAAACTCCATCTCAAAAAAAAATTTTTTTTTAATTAACATAATTCAACATTTTCATTCTCTAAGGAAACTGGGAACTCAGAAGATGAAACTACCTCAATGTTACACAAATAGCAGGTGGCCAAGTGATACTTAAACCCATGTCTTCCCTCAATTCAAAGATCTTTTAACTCTGGGGTTTGTGCATGGATTCTCAGGATGTATGGGAGCTTTCTACAAAACTTTTACAATACTCTCATTTCATTGTAAGGATAGTCTAGATCAGCTATATGACTATCTCATAATGTAGGACCACATTGCCAAATTAGTGGCAAATGTTCTAGTTTTGTTGCCTGGGGATAATAGAAAAGAACAGAAGCAAACAATATATAAATATGTTTTGTGCCAAATGAAAGCCAAATAGCATTGCTATGTGCTATAACAGCAGGATTTAAAGCAGTTTGAAAACAGCAGTTTGGTGAAGTGCATCAACACAGCATGTGATAGTACAGACACACCACTCAAAAGAAACTATAATACTATAATAGTAGTACCATATTTGCATTTTAGTTATCTATTAACTACTAATTTGTACATCTGCTATGTTTTATAGTTGTATTATAGATGTAGACAAACAGATTTCATCCCAGGTTTGTTCATACACTTTAACTTAACAATTATTCCCATAAACCTAAAGAGTACATAATAATATTTTTCTTCTACAGAAAAAGTTTAATCAAATATAGCAAAATATTAATTGTAGAATCTAAGCGATGGATTATGTAGGTGCACACTGAATAATTCTTTTCTTGAGAGAAAACCTCCGTACTATCAAACTTATTATACAGACTTGAGAAACACTGTCTCAAACTAATATCTAATATAAAATATTAAAATTATACTCAACACAATTTCGTGTTATTTTAAATTGCTGATTAATATGCAAGGCACATGGCAATGCTGTTAATCAGGGCAGTTTTTGTAACAGCACACCAACTTTCTTGACTAAAACTGAAAGGTTAAAAATTACATTTGGGTTACAATTGCCAAGGAAGACATCTACTCCTGGGGTCTTAAATAGGCACTTTGGAAGGCTAGCTGGAGGTCAGTAAATGAACCTTTCCTATCCACATGTGAACATGCCTTTCCTCTCCTTTCTCACCTCCAATGTTCTCAGGGTCCTTTAGCTCTTAGAAAAACACTGAAAGAAGAAATGCAGAAATGCATACCCAAGGAACAGCTTACCTGGCGATATCAGAATAATT